CCCCAACAATCTCCCCCTTGGTGTTCAATCTTGTTCAATCAGCATTGCAGCAAGGATATCTTTGTCTTTGTGTTGATTTAGCAATGTAGAGGAGAGTGTAGATAAGATTTGTCCAGTTGCTCCTCTTTGTCTTGAACTTCTGTGCAACTCAGCTTCCTTTGTATTTGACCTCGGCTTCTGGAGAAGGCTTTTTGAAGAAATCCTTTCAATCTCCCCTCTGATGTCTTCTTGGTAATTTGTTCTTTGATACTGGGGGTTGAGGGTTCTTCAAGATGTAGCTTGTGATCCTTGCCTTTCAGAAGGTGCTCTTGATCAGCATTAGTGAATTCCGATGGCGCCTCTGGAATGAGTGTTCAGCTGATGTACTGGCGCACATCGGATTCATCTTCAGAACTTGAATATTTGACCTTTGTCTCCTTCAAAGTGTTGTACGTGGCACAGCGGAAACATATTGCTTTTGAGGAGATCTCGTCGGTGGCACAACAGAAAAAGATGGTTGACTTGTGAGCATAGCTGACCATTTGACTTGAAGCTGGTTTGGCCATTAGGCAGAATAGAGATAGTAGAGAAAGTGTCCAAAAATGATTTGTTGAGAGTTAACAGCATGTGGACTATCTCTCCCCCCTCATGACAATCTGAAGAATCGGGGCGTCATGCCTTTATTCTTTTATTCTAGGAAACAAACTTGAAAATTAACAGAAAAGTTAAATTATAAAGACCGGATACACTGAAGTGTTCCGTTAACACAACATCAATGTAAACACTGATGTGTGGCCTGTATAAAACGATAGAAGCATTAAAGCTTTAACAGGACTTCCAACTAGTCATTGTGAAACATCTGAAGTAGATGTCACTCTAGTTGTTATAGCATTGATCATAAAGATCAGCAATGAAAGTGGTAGCTCCCCCCGAGGTCGTGAATAGGCCTGTCAATGGGTCGGGTCCGGGCCGGAATGTAGTGTACTGGACCCGGACCCGCTAAGTGAAATAGGGACCCAGACCCGGACCCGTTTACCCCGCCGGGTCTGAAATTTTGGACCCAGACCCGGACCCAACGGGTCTCGGGTCTGGGTCGGGTAGAACCGCTAAAAATGAAACGAAATCTGTATATGAAATGTAGAGCAATTTGCACAGACTAACTAAGCTTAAATCACTATCAACAATCAACAAAATTCAAAAGCAGATCATATCCTTGCTTTTTCAAAAGACAAAACTAAGAGTTCACATAGAAATCCAATAGTTTTATCCAAACATACTGAAAGTTTTTTATAATAAAATAAACAAAACTCAAAACGATATCCAAAGCTTCAAGCTTGCATCTTTCTGGAGGACCATCTCAAAATTAGCCATGAAAGCTTGAACTTTGCTGTCAAAATCAGCAAAAATGACTGTCAAAAAAAGACTTGAATCTCAAAATCAGCCATACAAAGTTGCACCAAATTCTGTCAAAAAAGACTGCACCATATAAATAAGAAGATTCAGACTTTGCTGCACAAGTTTCTGTCAAAAAAAACTGCACCATATAAGTAAGAAGAGTCAAACTTTGCTGCACAAGTTTCTGCAAAAAAAATAAAATAAAGAGAAAAGAAAAGATAGAAGGGAAACCCAAGTTTGCTGCAGAAGTTTCTGCACAAGTTTCTGCACAATCTATCACCTGTAACCTGTAAGTGTTAATTATGATGTTAGTTATATTACAATACTATAATGAGCTTATACCTTACAATGATCTTACCAAAGAAAATCACGATAATCTGACACATTTAGAGGAGCGACTCGGGGATTCTTCTTCTTCAGAAAACTCTACCAAGACAGATGAAGTAAAAAAAAACAGTGCAAGTAAATTATCTTTTAGTATAACTTAATAGAAAAAAACAGTTTATTAGACTTCAATGTGGTCTTACTTCTTTTGTTTAGTGATGGCAACCAGTCAGCAGTTGTCATTAGAGCTTCCACTACATCCGGAAGCAAAGAAGCGCGTTTCTCATCTATAACTCTTCCTCCAACACTAAAAGCAGATTCAGATGCTACTGTGGTAGCTGGAATTGCAAGTATATCACGATCAATTCTTCCAAGAACAGGATATTTTGGACTGTTTGCCTTCCACCAAGCTAAAATGTCAAAATTCTCTTTTCTTGGGAGGCAGGCTCTTCCAAGTACAATTCTAGTTCAGATTTTTGTGGCAAAAAAGAAGTATTGGAAGATTCCTTATACCATTTTTCAAATCCAGACATATCATCTCCTTCATCAACACTCACATCTTTGTTACCCGATGCTCCCTGACCAATATCATCTCCAAAAGAACTACTAGAATTACAAAGCTCACCCCCATACTCAACAAATAAATCTGTCAAGGCAGTACGAACCTTATCCAAATATCTTTGACCATTTTCTTTGTGAAGAGTAGTATAATAATACTGTACTAAAGCCAGCTTATATCTAGGATCGAAAACAACCGCGATAGCTAAGACCAGACAACAACTCATCCCAATATTTTTCATATTTGGCCCGCATAGGAATTGCCATTTCTTTAATGAAACCATGCTCACTATGTTCCCAATCTCTCAATTTAATACTCAGATTGCATATATCAGGAAAAAAACATTTGCGGTAGGAAAGTTAGTACCACTAAAATGGCATGTGGCATCGTAAAATTTTTTTAAGCAACCATGAACAACACTGACAACTTTCCAGTCATTTTCAGAAGGATTGAACTTGTAATACCTATCCATCTGTTGTAAACGACAAAAAGCTTCCTTTAAGGGAAGAGCACTTTCAAGCAATAGAAAAGTAGAATTCCATCTGTTACATACATCTAAACTCACTCTTTTCTTATTTTTCAACTTACATTGATTAATGGCACTCTCAAACTTTTGATTAGCTGAAGTAGACCTTTTCAAGTACTTCATAGTCTCTCGAATTTTCTGAAGCAAACTTCCAACAGTACTTAATCCATCTTGAACAATTAAGTTCAGAATATGTGCACTACATCGAACATGAAAAAGATCACCTCCCAAATGGATTAATGATTTGTCTAAAAGCCACGATTTCAAATACTTAATCATTGAATCATTGGCAGATGCATTATCAACAACAACAGATGACAACTTTTTATCAAGATTCCATTCTAACAAGATATCTGAAATAAACCTAAATAAAGTTTCACCATCATGAGGATATGGAATGGCTTTGAAGGCAATAATTTTCTTTTTCAGCTCCCAATCTTCACTAATATAATGACACGTCAAACAAGCATATGCAAGATTTTGATGATCCGACGTCCATATATCAGTAGTCATACTTACCCCTACCATCAAACTCTTCCAATTACTTATACAATTTTTCTTTCTCTTCATTGTAAAGTTTAATCACATCAGCCCTAACAGTATTCGAGAAACCAGTTTGAAATTTGGCTGCAAATTGTTCAGAAATATTTCAAAATACTCATGCTCAACCATGTTGAAAGGATAGTTATGTTTCACTAAGGCTCTAGTGAAATCCATACGACTCCTAAGTTGATCAAACTTGAAAGTTCCCACTTTAACATTGTCATTCATAACATTTTTCTCCAACACAAGTACTTGTTGTGCTCCACTTCTTTTTTTCTATGAATGCAATTACTTAGTGTGTTTGCTCAAGTGACTAGTTCCACTTGTACCTACCCCCAGCAAACTTCTTTTTACAGTGTTTGCAAATGGCAACATAATCAGACCCCAATTTTAACTCTCTTCATATCATTCCATACCTTGGATTTTAGTTTTCTTTTACATGATTTAGTAGCTGGTTCATCTTCATTGAGCCCCTCATTATCTGAATCCATATTCTGAACTTCAATTCCATCCACAGTGCTATCCAATGTGTCTTGATTTGGATGAGTTGGCTGACTTGGATCAGATTGAATGCTAGCTACAGATGACATCTGTAAACATAATATTGTATATTGAGTTATATTGCAGCTAAACTAATAATGCAGTTGCTAATGTAAAAAAAATTGAATGAATGATGTAAAAAAGATATGATATATAACCAGCAATATTCAATGTATGGAAAATAGAAATTTTTTATTAACCTTCAGTTTATTAATGGTAAGTTGGTAAGTACAGCAATATTCAATGTATGGAAATAAGGAAAATATCAGTAACCATCAGTTCATAAATGGTAACTAAATCACAGTAGTATCAAGTAACGAGAATTAAAGATACATGAATCAACTTAAGAAAGATAATAATACATGGAACATAGTAAAGTAAACATAATAACTAATACAAATTATCAAACTAAAAACTTAATCTTAAACATCAACTGAGTTCAACACCAACAAGTAAAATCTCTGTGTGAAGACGGAAATAGGGAACAAACAAAAATCACATATATAGATTGAATAAGGTAAGAATCAAAAGATGTTCGGATTATTACCTCTTAGGTCTCGACGTCTCGTACTGACTCGAAGTCTCGAACGCCTCAGGAAATTCTTTAGACTCCAGGGATCGATTCTGGACCTTCTGGTAGAGTAGTGCAGTCTGGTGGAATACGCCTCAGGACTCGGGAACTTCTCCTTCTCTATTTAGGATATACAGCTCCACAAGGACCAAACGTCATCTCTCTCGCATAACGGCACAAACTGCTACTCTGCTAGGATAATAGAATATTTAGATATTAGGGTTACTTTGCCTACCGAGCCCATAAAGCCCATAAGGGTTACTTTGAGTATAATACAGTATTGATTGACTATGGATACTGGACAGTATATCACTAGGCAATATATGGTATATATTATTATATTAATAATTCTAAACGGGTACGGGTCCTTAACGGGTCGGAATCGTGTGTACCATACCCGACCCATTTATAAAAAATATTAACGGGTCCGGGTTCGGGTCCGGGTAAACGGAATAAAATATAGACCCATACCCGTTAAAAAAAACTCGGGTCCGGGTCGGGTCCGGGTCTAGACCCGGCCCATTGACAGGCCTAGTCGTGAAGATACTCGTTATCATCACTATAGAGATAAACTCTAAAGCGATGGCCTGAACATGTTGGTGATTTCTATGTTGCAACAGCAGGACTTCCTTCCGATCATCGGTCTATCTATAGTAGATGAGCCCTATGGAAGTTCTCGCATGGTCACTTGGACCTGCAACTGACTCAAAAGTGTGTCTGTGTCCTAGAAAATTCAAAACATTTGGGAGTGAGATAACTAGACACAACCTGATCAATGAAAATTCAGTGGCATGGGGTTGAGGCCACTATAGTCAGTATCACTTGCCTTGAAAGGAGACGAGGTTCCCTTTCAAGAGACGAGGTTCCCCGTGAAATATGATTAAACACTTGTCTGTTGGGAGAGAAATGAGTGGTCTTGGGCAGGGTTGTGTATGCACTGTTTGGACAAGATGCAGTGACTTCTACCCGGGATCTGAATAAATTCACTCCTAAACCTATGGGGATTGTCTAGAGTATTTGAGTGACTGGGAGTAATTGATCAATTGAAAGTAGGCAGTTGAGGTAGCAGACTTATCATTGAATATTGTTTTATTGCTTACTTGAGCCTTCTGCTCCATAACGTTCATAGTATTCACTCACTCACACATTCACTCATTTACTCTCGGCTTTGTCCCTTGGGTAGGCTTAGTTGGGTTTACTAAGTCATAGGGACTTCTCTCTCATTCTCTTTGTTTCTTCATTTTCTCTCTGCACTCCCCCTCAACTGGAGCACTCTTTATGCTTTGTTATCGTTTGGCACCGGGGAGGAGAAAATTGAAAACTCCCCCTCAAATGTTGCATCCTTTGAGAGAATCCTTGCTTTGTCGTTGTGTGGCGCCAGGAGGAGAAAACTGTAACTCCCCCTCAGATTGTGCAAGGTTTGATTGCTCACAGTTTGATACACCTGTCATGTGTATGGAGCAATCTGTATAGGTACCATACATGACGGTTTACCCTGAACTCATCATCTAGAATTTCAGCATGTTGATGATCACACATTGTTGATGAGTAAGGGAAGGCATCAGTAGTTGATTGTTGATTGTTGTGAAATGACTGTTGACGCGAGGTTGATTGAATTATCTACGATTTCCGGACCTTACAGTGTGGATTAAACCTTTGGTTTGACTTTCGTTTGACTTTGGAAGAGTTGATCAGATTAGCCTCAGTTTTGACCTTGACCTTGGTGATTGACAAAAAAAATCGGAAAACAGGTGATATCTCCCTCAAAAACGGCGAGTGAGGGAGCGTGAGATTGGGTTCTGGGGTATCTCCCTAAAAAAAATCGGAAAACTTCTTCTTTTCTGATTTTGGACATTGATTTTGCCAATTTCGAACTTCTATTTCATATTTTCACAAGGCCACCAGGTACTCTGCAAAACTTGTGAAGAAACCAAAGCCAAAATCAAACTTGCAAACACTAGACAATACATAGACAATAAGCAGTCCGTAAACAGACATTAAGTTCTAATGTACTCTGTATAAGGAACTTAATGAGTGTATAAGGAAATAATTTGAGATCTTTGATCTAGTCAATTTCGTTCGTTGAATTAGATCGGAGTACTTGTGTTTTCTTTCAATTTAATCGTCGTAATTTTACAATTACGTACATAAAGTTTTAAAATTTAATGCTTCCGCACTATCACTTTATAATTTTATAATTTTATGGAGATATTTATGCACTAATAAAATTTAAAGTGATGTTAGTTTTCTCTCATATGATTATTTACTCAATTAATTGTTTAAATGTTTTGGTAGCTTGTTAGTCACCAAAGTGGTCTGGCTAGCTAGTTTATTTAGATCATTTTGTTCAAATTTATGTACTCATTCAAATTTCAAATGATAAGATAAGTTGTTAATCACTAAAGAGATACAACTAGTTTGGTTATTTAGAAATTTTGATTGAGTAGATCAAACTGATAATAATTAATCTACGTTTAATGAATATTTGAGTTTAATTATTTGCGTATAAGGAGTTTGTTAGTCACCAAAGTGGTCTGACTCCTGTGATAGTCAAATAATTAAATTTTTATGATCTGTTTGATTAATTAATCTATGTTTGGTGGGCATGTAAATTTAATTATTTACTTATAAGGAGTTTGTTAGTCACCAAAGTGGCCTGACTCATATAAGAGTTAAATAATTAAATTTTTATGATCTATTTGATTTATGTCCATAAATGTAATGCTTGTTAGTTACCAAAGCGAACGGACTAAATCAATTTAAACAATTTAATTGAGTAAAATTTAATATATGACTATATTCAATCATTTAAAATCTCTAATGTTATGATAAGTTGTTAATCACCAAAGTGATTTAATGGTTAACTTAGAAATTTTAATTGAGAGAATTGGTCATGATTTTAGTAGATGTATATTTAAATTGAGTTATTTACATATATGGAGTTTGTTAGTCACCAAAGTGGCCTGACTCATACGGTTTGTAAATAATTAAATTTTATGTAATTACATATCTACAGTCGATTTGATTTATTGTCTATAAATATAATGCTTGTTAGTCACCAAAGTGGCATGGCCGAGAGTTATTAGACAAATAAATCTGAAAGGTAAAATCGATTTTTTATAATTTTAGGATACTAAATAATATAAAAATAATGCATTGAGATTATATTGCTATACGATCTCCAAAAGGTGGATCATGCATGTATAATTTTTGCAATTTAAGAGACTAATTTTTATACTTGGATTAAATTGGGTTCATGTCCAAAGACAACACTCATTTAGTCATGTGTAATCAATTGTCTATTTTGGTATATTATTTGGCATCATCTTATGTATATATTTAAGGATCACCCAAAGGTGAATCTAAGCATATATGTTTAGGTTTTCTAAGAATGAATCTGTATTAGTTAATTCAAAGCATTAATAGTAAGCATGTATATTGTTGCAGCTTCGTTAAATCTCTTATCGTCCACGAACGATTTAATTAGGGAATTCATGTTAGATATCAAATCAAGCAAGATTGATACACATTTAGGTTTCGTGTGTTTCGAATCAAATCTCATAGAAGTTCCTAATAACACTTGGTGGTTAGATTCGGGTGCTTCTACTCATGTTTCTCACATTATGAAGAGATTTAAGTCCATCCAACCAATAAGGGGAAATGAACAATTTCTATTTATGGGGAATAGGATGAAAGCACGCATTAAGGGCATAGGGACGTATAGGTTGATCTTAGACACTGGATGTCCTTTAGATCTAGATAATTGTCTTTATGTGCCTGATTGTGCTAGAAATCTTGTTTCAGTTAGTAGGTTGGATGTTTCAGGATTTCATATCAAGTTTGGGAACAATACCTTTTCATTATTTAAGGATAATTTTATTTATGGATCTGGTATGTTGGTTGATTCCCTGTATCATTTTAATCTTGATTTGAAATTTACTGAATCTCTATTTAATGTTGAAAATAATGTGGGAGTTAAGCGTAGTGCACTAGATGAGGACTCAGCTTTCTTGTGGCACCAACGTCTCGGTCATATTTCCAAGGATAGGCTAATGAGGTTAGTTAAGAATGAAATTTTACCTCAATTGGATTTTAGTGACTGGGATGTGTGTGTTGATTGCATTAAAGGAAAGCAAACCAAACACACAGTAAAGAAGGCGTCCACAAGAAGCACTCAATTGTCAGAGCTTATACACACTGATATTTGTGGTCCTTTTGATGTTCCTTCTTGGGGTGGAGAAAAGTACTTTATCACCTTTATGGATGACTACTCACGTTATGGTTACATTTATCTGTTGCATGATAAGGCCCAGTCGGCAGACATCCTAGCGGTGTTTGTCAACGAGGTGGAAAGGCAGCTAGAGAAGAAAGTTAAGGTTGTGAGGTCTGATAGAGGTGGTGAATATTATGGGAAATCCAATGAATATGGATGGTGTGTAGCATATAATGGGCACACAACTATTTTTTACCCAAGGAAGTAGGGTGTCGAACCACAGAGAAGCGGGAAATAAAATAATTAAGCACAAACTAAGGATTAAAGTTGGAAGTGCGTTTCTTTTGATTTTTTTTGGTTGCTTGGAAAAGTAATAAAATAAAAGTGATTGAGATGAGAGATTTTTATCAACACAAAGTTCAACCAATAGCAAGTAGGGGTAGAAATTGGTAACTAATTGTTCAATGTTTAATTGAGAGACATAATTGCTAATTTTATTCTTAGATAGATTGTGAGAAGTTGTAGATAAATATTTTAGGACTCAACACAAGTCATCTAAAATAAGTAACTAGTCAACATTTCCCAATGATGGCCAAAACGAGACTAGTTGTTTAAGTGCAACGACAACCTTAATTATTAACTATATTATTTACCCAACCCCGTGGTGTGAATAATATAATTAAATAATTAAATTCCCCCGTAAAACTTCAATCCGGGAAAAGGTAAAAGAAGTTTAACGGTGTGTTCAGAAAGTGTTCATTTGTGTATTTAACAAACAATATGTTTATGATTGAGTACTCATAATATATATCACAAACATAACTTAATTAATTTTCTGGACACAACAATCTAAATAGAACAAACTTAACAATTAAAATCAATACAAATTAAAACATGATAAGAACAATTAATTAACCAATTTCTAGCCCCAAGTTTATTTAGCTATACATGTTTGGAAGATTAGAAATAGATGAATTCATAATTAAAGTACAAGATTTAAAGAGATAAGGAAAATCAAACTTGTGATAGATGACAATCCTTGAAGCTTTGGTGCTAATCTTGACTTAATCTTGGATAAAGAAGTGATTAGTTGTGGTTGAAGATGAGTTGATGATTTGAAGGTGAAGAATGAAGAGAGGAGGAGGAAATGATTCTGGGAGGTTTAGAGAGAAGTTGGCTCGAGATTATCTGTGGAGGGAGATGGATTAAGGCAATATAATGATAAGGTGATTAATCATTAATTGCTGGAATTTACGGAACCGGAGAGTATATGTACAAGAAAACGCGTCCAGGAATCAATAATGCGTAGCAGTGCAGCGGACGAAGTGTTTAAGCATGTAGCAGAGGTCGCGGGTTCGATTCTGGCTTCGGACTTTTGTTCCATTTTTTCTTTGATGTGGTCACAAGCAATATATAAACTGCCGGCTGATTGTGTACAACATTGGCTACTTAGCTCACTGGTTCTGAATGGCTTTCCTCTACCCCTAGTTCAGGGATCGAATCCCATCTCTGTGTTTTCATATTTTTGCTTCTTAACTTCAATTTACTCCTTATTTGCTTTGAAAGAAATTCCACTTTTATTGACCTCCAACTTGAACTTTTATTTTCTTCTTTTCTTCACACACAAATGTATCAAATAGTATCAAAAGTACCTGAAAATACAAAATACATGCATAGAACTACACATCGTACAAAGTAATGATAAATAATAAAAATATGTACAAATATACAAATTAAGTGACCAAAATTATTAACAAACTAAGCCTAAAAAGTGTGTAAAATACAAGCACATCAAATCCCCCACACTTAGGCTTTTGCTTGTCCTCAAGCAAAATAAACAACAAACACAAAAATAAACACAATTTGGTAAAATTTACAAACATAACTAAACAAATCACACATACACCTCTAATGTCCACTAAACGGTCCAATACCCTGAAATGTTACAAAATAACTCAATGAGAGTAAACCGAGTATTATTGCCTATCACTAAGATTTTCAAATCAAACTTTTAACACAAACACCTATAGATCTGAATTAGTTCGGGTTATGCAGAACAAGTTTCTCCAATTAACTTAATTCAAAAAAATGACACAAATAGATCAATTAGGACTTTTCGGGTTTTGGCGAGGTTAATGATGTGGCTAGTGGAAAGAAAGGTTTGGTGTAGGGATTTACAAAGAGAGTTAGATTGCACTTATACTGAGCGGATAATCACATGAATTTACAAGAACTTGGAGCATACAAAACAATGAGAAATATAAACATGAAAAGGAAGTAAAAATGGGGTTTTACAGAAGAAATCACAACAAGAAATTAATGTGCCTCTTTGTTTTTTTTTTGTTTGTTTTTTTTTTTTTACTTTTTTTTTTCTTTTTTTTTCTTTTTTTTTTTTGAACTTTTTTTTAAGAAGGCACACACTAAATATTACAATGAAAAACTAACCCCAAAATTTACAAACAAATATGTACATCACTAATATGACACTTAACAGAAGCTCCATTTTATCCACTCTCAAGTAACAATACAAACTACTCTAGGGTTGAAACAAAAATGACTTGGGTAGGATTTCACAAGGTTATGTATTTACAAGGTCACAAGAAAAATTAGTAACAAGTGAAGTAAGTTATTTTACACTTGTACACTGAAAAGGCTCAAACAGGGTTACTAGGGAAACTTTTATTTATTTATAAAGGGATAGTGTTTGGCTTGATGGGTAAACAAAGATGGCCTAGATTATTTCTAATGTGTCAAGTTCAAATTAAATTTCAAGGAGAATAAATGTATAAACATCTTAAACTGCATAAACTTTCACTAATTCAACTATTAAACCAATAAATTGGAAAAATAAAATCTAAGGTGTAATGTTAAATTGTTAAAAAGAATCAAGTTCAAAGCTCATACTAAGTTACTCTCAAAAAATTACAGTGACACTTCTCAAACTCAAACCACATTTCATCAAAAGAGGTGAATGAATAATTTAAAAAGTTATGGAGGTAACTAGTAACAAAAAGTGTAAACTAGTGTGTTGCTAGTCTATTGTTGCATTTTGGACAAGACTGGGCTTTGTTCACAAACAAAACACACAAAATAAATAAAACAAAATCATACAAGCACACAAGGAAAAAAAAAATATATTCACACAAGAAATCAGGGTCGAACTACCCACTCCCCCACACTTAAAATTTGCACTGTCCTCAGTGAAAAAGAAATTAAAGGAGTGTAAAGAAAACTTCCCTGAAGCGCGGCCGAATCTGGAATTGTTTATCCGCATGACGTTGGGAGATCCCTTTGAGCGGATGTGGCCCCTTTAGAGTCCAAAGAAATAAAGAAAACCTAGACTAATTTTTTTTTTTTTTGACTTTTTTTTTTGTTTTTTTTTTTGAGAAATTTACAAACTTGGGTTGCCTCCCAAGAAGCGCTCGTTTAAGGTCATTAGCTTGACCCATGTCTTTCATTCATATTCTGGATCAATGAGGCAATACACAGAAGTTGCCTCTTGTTTCTCACCATCATGATATAATTTCAATCGTTGTCCATTTACCATGAGTTTCTGTCCGCTTTTGTTTAACAACTGAACTGCTCCGGATGGGAATGCTTCAAGTACTTCAAATGGACCCAACCACCGGGTTTTTAGTTTTCCGGGGAAGAATTTGTAACGTGAGTTAAATAGAAGAACTTTATCTCCCCGTTCAAATTTTCTCCGGCTGATCACCCGGTCATGCAAAACTTTTGTTCTCTCCTTGTATATTTTTGAGCTATCATAAGCTGCAAGTCTGAATTCTTCAAGTTCATTTAGCTGCAACAGTCGTTTCTCACCCGCCAATGCAAGATCCATGTTGAGTGTCTTGATTGCCCAATATGCTTTGTGTTCAACCTCAACAGGAAGATGACAGGCTTTCCCATACACCAATTTGAATGGTGAGGTTCCAATGGGATTTTTATAGGCAGTGCGGTATGCCCATAGTGCATCATCAAGCTTGTCGGCCCAATCCTTTCGGGAAGGATTAACAACTTTCTCGAGAATTGATTTGATTTCTCGGTTTGAAAGTTCTACCTGGCCATTTGTTTGCGGGTGATATGGAGTTGAGAGTCGGTGGTGAATCCCATATTTGGAAAGGACACGTTCCAATGCCTTGTTACAAAAATGAGTACCATTGTCGGTGATGAAAGATCTTGGAACTCCGAATCGGGAGAAAATATTCTTCTGAATAAATTGGATCACCACTTTGGCATCATTAGTCGATGTGGCAGCTGCTTCTACCCATTTAGAAACATAATCAACAGCTACAAGGATGAACTCTTTCCCATTTGATTTAGGAAATGGCCCCATAAAATCGAGCCCCCATACGTCGAACAATTCGACTTCAAGTATGCCATGCTGAGGCATTTCATTCTTTCTTCCGATATTGCCAGTACGCTGGCAACGATCACAGTTTTTCACAAATTTGCTTGCATCTTTGAAAAGAGTGGGCCAAAAGAAACCCGATTGTAAAATTTTTGTAGCAGTACGAGAGCTTCCATGATGTCCCCCATATGCTGAGGAATGGCAATGATGCAAGACGTTTGAAACTTCATTTTCGGGCAAACACCGTCGAATGACACCATCGGCACACCTTCTATAGAGAAAAGGTTCTGCCCAATGGTAGTAACGGGAGTCATATTTTAACTTCTTCTTTTCAGCATGTGTAGCCCCATGTAGAATTACCCCATGAGAAAGGTAATTTGCAATATCGGAAAACCATGGATCAAAAATTTGAGCAGACATGAGTTGTTCCCCGATGAAATAATCATTGATTGGCATTTTGATATCACAAGGAATCTCAAGACGAGATAAATGATCAGCAACAACATTTTCAGATCCTTTTCTATCACGGATTTCCATGTCAAACTCTTGTAGTAACAAGATCCACCGCAGCAACCTCGGTTTTGCATCCTTTTTATTGATGAGGTATTTGATAGCCGCATGATCGGTATAGACAATTATCTTGCTTCCGATAAGATAAGATCGGAATTTTTCAATGGCAAATATTATGGCAAGAAACTCTTTTTCAGTTGTGGCATAATTTGATTGGGCATCATCAAGAGTATGGCTTGCATAATAAATGGCATAGATTTCTTTTCCTTTGCGTTGACCCAGAATAGCTCCCACGGCATAATCGCTCGCATCACACATGAGTTCAAAAGGAAGGTTCCAATCAGGTGGCCTTATGATTGGTGCAGTAGTTAAGGCCAACTTGAGCTTTGAAAATGCGGTGCAGCAAGATTCATCAAAATTAAACTCCACATCTTTGGAGAGAAGATTGGTTAAGGGCTTTGATATTTTTGAAAAATCTTTAATAAACCGGCGATAGAATCCTGCATGGCCAAGAAAACTGCGAATCCCCTTGATGGAGGAAGGAGGAGGCAATTTTTCAATGACTTCTATTTTTGCTGGGTCTACTTCGATGCCTTTTTCAGAAATTTTGTGCCCAAGCACAATGCCTTCGGTTGCCATAAAATGACATTTTTCCCAGTTGAGGATAAGGTTTGCTTCTTCACATTTGCTCAGCACTTTTTCAAGATTTTCAAGACAATCATCAAATGAAATCCCGTAAACCGAGAAGTCATCCATAAAAACTTCCATAATTTCCTCGACAAGATCCGAGAAAATAGCTAGCATACATCGTTGAAAGGTTCCAGGTGCATTACATAATCCAAATGGCATTCTGCGATATGCAAAAGTACCATAAGGACATGTAAATGTTGTCATTTCTTGATCATCCGGATGAATTGGGATTTGGAAGAATCCAGAGAATCCGTCAAGAAAACAGAAATACTTGTGCTTAGCCATCCTCTCCAGCAATTGATCAATAAAAGGAAGTGGAAAATGATCTTTTCGAGTTGCCTTGTTGAGTTTGCGGTAGTCAATGCACATGCGCCAACCAGTGACTATTCGGGTAGGAATCAGTTCATTTTTGTCATTCTTCACAACAGTAATTCCTCCTTTCTTTGGCACCACGTGGATAGGACTTACCCATTTGCTGTCCGAAATGGGAAAAATGATACCTGAACTCAACAATTTCAGAATTTCTTTTTTAACAACATCTTTCATGTTCGGGTTGAGACGCCTTTGGTGCTCAATGCTCGGCTTGTGATCATCCTCCAAGTAAATGCGGTGCATGCAGTAAGATGCCTTTATGCCAACAATATCATCGATGGTGTAGCCAATAACTCTTCGATGGCTTCGTAAGACTTGCAATAATCTTTCCACTTGTTGAAGATCCAAATCAGCATTCACAATGACAGGATAAGTGGAATCCGGACCAAGAAAAGCATATTTCAAAGTAGATGGAAGTGGTTTGAGTTCTACTTCAGGTGCTTTTCCTTTGACATTCAAGGATTGATCTTCAAGATTAAGCACTTCAAATTTAAGTGCTTTAGGCATCGGTAAAGATATGCTTTGCAACATTTCGAGGCATAAATTTACCATTTCATTGGCTTGCTCATCTGCAATAGATTCTCGTATGGTGTACTCCATTGGATCTTTAGAAAGCCAATAAGACTCATCAAATGTATTTGTAGTACAAGAGTCTATAACATCAGCATAGTAACCATCAAGGACACAAGGTGTATCCTTACTCAGCTCTCGTACATTGAATTCAATCTTATCATCCCCAATCTCAAGGATAAGGGTACCCTTTTTGACATTGATAATAGCTCCTGCTGTAGCTAGAAAAGGTCTCCCTAGAATAACAGGAACTCGGGCATCTTCTTCCATATCCAAGACAACAAAGTCTCCTGGGATATAATACTTGTCAATTTTGACAGGAACATCTTCAAGAATGCCGATAGGATATTTGACAGATCGATCAGCCAATTGTAATGCCATCGTTGTTGGTTTGGGATCCCCCAAGTGTAGCTTTTGACATAATGAATAAGGAATTAAGCTAACACTTGCACCAAGATCACAAAGAGCTTTGTTAACTTTAGATCCACCAATGGTACATGGAATTGAGAAGCTTCCAGGATCACATAATTTGGGTGTGATCTTATTTTGGATGATGGCACTGCATTCTTGACTCATTGCAACAGTGGCTGGATTCTCCTTCTTCTTTGTGAGAATGTCTTTGAGAAATTTAGCATATGAAGGAATTTCTGTAATGGCATCAAGCAAAGGAATTGAGATATCCAATTGCTTGATAACATTCAAAAATTTTGTTCTCCGCTCCTCCATATTGGCTTTCTTCAATCTGTTCGGATAAGGAACTGGGGGAATGTATTTCCTTACCGGACTTTCTCTTTGTTTCTTTGATCCTTCATGGTCATCAGTTGATTTCAGCATGGTACCGACATCATGTTCATTGTTGTTGTTTCCACCTTTCTGTTGTTGCACGATCCCTTCCTCCAACACTTCATGTTCTTGTTCATCATTAGAAAGGGGCAAGGATTGATGTTGTTTCCCACTCCGAGTAGTGACGACATTCATTTGCTCCCTCGGATTTTCAGGACAAGCAGGGAGCTTACCCGTCACCTTAGTAGATGATGTGGATGCTTGATTAGCAATTTGATTCTCAAGCATCCTGTTGTGAGCCCGGAGTTGACCAAGTTCTTCGGTGATTTGTTTCAGGGTTTCGGCTTGAGATAATTGGGACTTGAGAAGTTGGTCAACAATGTTTTCTAGGACAGGAGTTTGGGCTGTTTCAGGAGTGGGTAGAAGTGGTTTTTGTTGTTGATTTGAAGGGTATGGAAGATTTTGAGTGGGTTTGTATTGTGGCTGGTTCACAATACCTTGGCCACCTCTGAATTGCTGTTGTTGATTTTGGAAACCGGGTGGTGCACTTCGGTAAGATGGTTGTGGATTAGCAGCTCCATTTTGATTGCTCCAGGAAAAACCGGGATGGTTTCTTCCTTGAGGATTGAAATTACCAAACTGATTTTGTTGGGGCTGCCGGTTGTAGTTGACATAGTCAACCTGTTCCATTGATTCCCATGAACAAGTGGACTGATTGTGTTGTCCACCGCAAGATTCACACATAAGAACGGGAAGAGGAGGTGGAGTTGGTGCAGAGTTTTGCACAAGAGAGACTTGTGCCATCTTTTGGATCAGAGTCATCATGTTATCGACCTTTGTGGTTATGGCAGACATTTGATCAACTTCGTACATGCCTCCAATTTTTGGTGGAGCAGATGATCGCTCAGAATACCATGTTGATCCATTTGATGAAATGCGTTCCATCAATTCTTCTGCCTCTTCAAGTTCTAGGCACATGAATGATCCATTTGCAGACGCGTCCACAAGTATCCGAGAATTTTCACTTAGGCCTTCATAGAAAGCCGTCATCAAGTGCCAGTTTTGGATGTTGTGATGTGGACATTGTCGCTGAAGATCTTTGAATCTTTCCCAAGCCTCATAGAGGGGCTCATTGGGATTTTGTTTGAAATTTTGAATCATTCTCCGGATTTTCGCCGTTTTAGATGGCGGGAAAAATCTTTTGAGAAATTCACCATGAAGTTGATCCCAAGTGGAGAAGTGATTGTCCGGAAAAGAGTCAAGCCAACTCTGAGCTCGATCCCGTAGAGAGAATGGGAATAGGCGTAGTCTGACAGCATCAGATGGCACACCATTGATTTTGAAGGTGTTGCAAGCTCGAAGGAACTTTGTGATGTGATTATTTGGATCCTCCGTTGGCGCTCCGCCAAATCGATCATTTGAAACCATGTGGATGATAGCAGGCTTGATTTCAAATTGGTTCATGTTAACCTCCGGTGGAATAACACTGTCATGCTCATCCACGGGAGGCGTAACATAATCATACAACGGTTTCCTGGTCCTTGTAACCTGATCCACGATTTGTTGATCTGGTTCCTGCTCATTTACAACAACATCGTTTGACATTTTTTTTTTATTTTTTTTCTGTTCACGTATGTGCTTTTCAATGTCAGAGAAGAATAACAATTCACAATTTTCACCACGTGAACGTGTAAACATAAGCAGAAGGGAATCGGGATTGGGAAAAGAGAGAAAGAGAGAGATGAAAAGAAAAGAAAAATTGCGGAATTAATTAATTAATTAAGGTTCGCACTTAGTCAATTGGTATAAACCGAATAAGACTAGTGAGCCCTTAAAGCAGTATTAATATATACAGTAATTCACCAGGATGCGGCAGGGCCGACAGATATGGTGATTTGAGAAGAAGAGAAAAAAAATAACTACAGTAATAAATACAGTCTCCACCAAGATGCAGCTGTGCCGACAGTCTGGGGATTATTAAGAAATAAATTAAAAAGTGCACGCCACCAACAAGCGGACACGGCCGACAAGCTTGGGGATGCAAAAATAAAAAAAATGCTGAAATTAAAGTGCGGAAACTAAATTGCGATATTTAAAGTGCATAAATTAAATTGCGATAATTAAAGTGCAAAAATTAAAAAGTTGGGGTTTTAACCACCATAAAAAGAAAAATAAACGGTCCGACCATATAGGCGGAGTATCCTTTAAATTACTATGTTCAAGTAAACGGTCCGACCATATAGGCGGATTATCCGTTCAATTAATATGTACAAATTAGCGGTCCGACCATAAAGGCGGAGTATCCTTTGAATTAAAATGTGACAATATGTCCAATGGTCCAAATGTCCAGATATATGTTCAGTCAAAGTGTCCAACTCCAATGCTCAGATAAGGTAATTAATTAAGTTCAATATTTTTTTTTTTTTTGAACTTTAATTAATCACTTTTTTATGATTTTTTTTTAACCTGCAAAAGTAAACAAGATAACAAGAAAATAATATACACACAATTTACAATAACTAAAACCAAAAGTTCATGCTTTCACTTTTTTTTTTCAAAACCGCTTCCCCGGCAACGGCGCCAAGTTGGTGTGTAGCATATAATGGGCACACAACTATTTTTTACCCAAGGAAGTAGGGTGTCGAACCACAGAGAAGCGGGAAATAAAATAATTAAGCACAAACTAAGGATTAAAGTTGGAAGTGCATTTCTTTTGATTTTTTTTTGTTGCTTGGAAAAGTAATAAAATAAAAGTGATTGAGATGAGAGATTTTTATCAACACAAAGTTCAACCAATAGCAAGTAGGGGTAGAAATTGGTAACTAATTGTTCAATGTTTAATTGAGAGACATAATTGCTAATTTTATTCTTAGATAGATTGTGAGAAGTTGTAGATAAATATTTTAGGACTCAACACAAGTCATCTAAAATAAGTAACTAGTCAACATTTCCCAGTGATGGCCAAAACGAGACTAGTTGTTTAAGTGCAACGACAACCTTAATTATTAACTATATTATTTACCCAACCCCGTGGTGTGAATAATATAATTAAATAATTAAATTCCCCCGTAAAACTTCAATCCGGGACAAGGTAAAAGAAGTTTAACGGTGTGTTCAGAAAGTGTTCATTTGTGTATTTAACAAACAATATGTTTATGATTGAGTACTCATAATATATATCACAAACATAACTTAATTAATTTTCTGGACACAACAATCTAAATAGAACAAACTTAACAATTAAAATCAATACAAATTAAAACATGATAAGAACAATTAATTAACCAATTTCTAGCCCCAAGTTTATTTAGCTATACATGTTTGGAAGCTTAGAAATAGATGAATTCATAATTAAAGTACAAGATTTAAAGAGATAAGGAAAATCAAACTTGTGATAGATGACAATCCTTGAAGCTTTGGTGCTAATCTTGACTTAATCTTGGATAAAGAAGTGATTAGTTGTGGTTGAAGATGAGTTGATAATTTGAAGGTGAAGAATGAAGAGAGAAGGAGGAGGAAATGATTCTGGGAGGTTTAGAGAGAAGTTGGCTCGAGATTATCTGTGGAGGGAGATGGATTAAGGCAATATAATGATAAGGTGATTAATCATTAATTGCTGGAATTTACGGAACCGGAGAGTATATGTACAAGAAAACGCGTCCAAGAATCAATAATGCGTAGCAGTGCAGCGGACGAAGTGTTTAAGCATGTAGCAGAGGTCGCGGGTTCGATTCTGGCTTCGGACTTTTGTTCCATTTTTTCTTTGATGTGGTCACAAGCAATATATAAACTGCCGGCTGATTGTGTACAACATTGGCTACTTAGCTCACTGGTTCTGAATGGCTTTCCTCTACCCCTGGTTCAGGGATCGAATCCCATCTCTGTGTTTTCATATTTTTGCTTCTTAACTTCAATTTACTCCTTATTTGCTTTGAAAGAAATTCCACTTTTATTGACCTCTAACTTGAACTTTTATTTTCTTCTTTTCTTCACACACAAATGTATCAAATAGTATCAAAAGTACCTGAAAATACAAAATACATGCATAGAACTACACATCGTACAAAGTAATGATAAATAATAAAAATATGTACAAATATACAAATTAAGTGACCAAAATTATTAACAAACTAAGCCTAAAAAGTGTGTAAAATACAAGCACATCAATGGACAATGTCCAGGTCCATTCGCTAAATTCCTTGAAAGTCGAGGCATTTGTGCTCAATACACAATGTTGGGTACACCACAACAAAATGGTGTAGCTGAGAGGCGGAATCGTACGTTAATTGAAATGGTTAGGAGCATGTTAAGTTATTCTACCTTACCCCCTTCGTTGTGGATGTATGCATTAAGGACTGTTGCATATCTATTAAATTGGGTTCCTAGTAAGGCAGTTCCTAAGACCCCTTATGAACTGTGGACAGGTAGGAGACATAGTTTGAGACATCTCCATATTTGGGGGGTGTCCTGCAGAAGTAAGAGTATACAATCCGCATGAAAGGAAAATTGATCTGAGGACAGTTAATGGATTTTTCATTGGCTATCCTGAAAAAGTCGAAGGGATTTAGGTTTTATTGCCCTAGTCATAGTACGAGAATTATAGAGACAGACAATGCTCGGTTCATTGAAAATGGTCAAGTTAGTGGGAGTGGTGAACCACGAAATGTGGTCATTCAAGAACAAAAAGATAATGCCATGTTCCCACATGTTGGACGTATCAATAGTATCTCAAACAACAACGAACGACCTGAGTATATAGTTAGTGACGCAATCACTAATGATCAGAATGAAGGTGTAGTTGGTGAACAAGATACTAATGAGCATGTTGTTACCAATTCAAATGAACATATCATCACTCAAGAAAATGATAATTCGTCAGAAGGAATAACGTTAAGAAGGTCATCTAGGGAAAAACGATCTGCTATTCCAGATGACTATTTACTATATTCTGTTGAGTATGAGTGTGACTTGAGCATTGGTGAGGGGATCCATTCTCATTTAAGGAAGCCATGGATAGTATAAACTCAGATAAGTGGATTGATGCCATGAATGAAGAGCTTAAATCCATGTATGACAATAAAGTCTGGGATTTGGTTATGTTGCCTGATGGATCCAAAAGAGTTGGATGTAAGTGGGTCTTTAAGACCAAGCGTGACTCTAATGGAAACATCGAAAGATATAAGGTCAGACTTGTTACTAAGGGATTTACTCAGAAACGTGGCATTGATTACAAGGAGACCTTCTCTCCAGCTTCAAAGAAAGACTCCTTGAGGATTGTTATGGTTTTTGGTGGCTCGTTTTGATTTGAAGTTTCACCAAATAGATGTGAAAACCGTCTTTCTGAACGGAGACTTAGAGGAAGAAGTGTATATGGATCAACCAGAAGGATTTTTGACCACTGGTAAGGAAAATCTTGTGTGTAAGCTACAAAAGTCAATATATGGACTAAAACAAGCTTCCCGACAATGGTATCTTAAATTCCATAATACCATTTGTTCTTATGGTTTTATAGAGAACGCCGTTGATCGGTGCATCTATATGAAGATCAATGGGAGCAGATTTGTAATTTTAGTCCTATATGTTGATGATATTTTGCTTGCTGCGAATGATATGTCCATGATGCATGATGTTAAGAAGTTCCTTTCTAGGGCTGGGACTTTGGAACCAAAAACCGGAGAACCGAACCAGACCGAACCGTTATGACCCGGTTCGGTTTGGTTCCAAAATTTATTAGTTATTTGTTAATGGTTCGGTTCCTACTTTTTATTAACGGTTCGGTTCTCGGTTCCTGTAAAAAATATGTACGTGGAACCGTTAAGGAACCGTTATATATAATAATTAAAATTATATATATTTCTTATTAGTATATATATATATATATATATATATATATATATATATATATATATTTTAATGTATATTTACTTATCTATTTTCATATTACATTCACTATTTTAGTTTAGTTATTTAACTATTTGAAATTATTTTTCATTTAACTGGTTTTATTGGGCTTCTTTACCGAATATCGTGTTTTGTTTTTGTTTTCTAAAATTTGCAGTTTGTTATGTATTTATCTTTTAAACTCAACTTTTGAGGTTTGAAATGAAGTTCAACATATTTGTATTGTAATTTTAAGTGTTGAATGTATTTTTGACACAAATTTAACCGTGATTTGTAAGATTTTTTTTAAATACTAGGAACCGTTAAATGACAAGAACCGAACCGTTAAGAACGGTTCGGTTCCTTATCGGTTCTACAAAATAATCTATAAGAACCGAACCGTTAGTAAAATTTCATATTTTCAAACGGTTCCACATATTTCGCCTAGGAACCGAACCGGTCCCAGGCCTATTCCTTTCTAAGAACTTTGAGATGAAAGATATGGGCGAGGCATCCTATGTGATTGGAATTGAAATATTTTGAAACCGTTCACAAGGAATTTTGGGTATGTCTCAGAAGAGCTACATCAATCAGATCTTAGAAAGATTTAATATGGACAAATGCTCTCCAGGTGTGGTTTCAATTCAGAAGGGGGACAAGTTCAATTTATTACATTGTCCTAAAAATGAATTGGAACGTAAGGTGATGGAAAGAATTCCCTATGCGTCAGTGGTTGGATGTTTGGGATATGTTCAGACTTGTACTCGTCCCGATATTAGTTTTGCTGTTGGAATGCTGGGACGATATCAAAGTAATCCCGGAATGGACCACTGGAAAGCTGCAAAGAAAGTTTTGAGGTACTTGCAAGGCACCAAAGATCACATGCTTACATTTAAGAGATCTAATCATCTTATGGTGATTAGATATTCAAATTTAATTTTACTGGATGTGTCGATAATAGAAAGTCAACATCTAGTTTTTCTGTTCATAGTATCTTGGAAAAGTAGTAAATAAATAGCTATTGCTACTTCTACTATGGAGGTCGAACTTGTGGCATGCTTTGAGGCCACTGTTCATGGTTTGTGGCTACGGAGCTTTGTTTCCGGACTTAGACTAGTCGACATTATAGCTAAGTCGGTGAAAATTTAATTCTGCAGCAGTCTTCTTCATGAAGAATGATAAGTACACTAAAGGTGCTAAACGCATAGATTTGAAGTACTTGTTAGTTAGGGAAGAAGTTCAGAAACATAGAGTGTTTATTGAGCATATTGGCACTGAACAAGCGATTGCGGATCCACTGATTAACACCCAACGTTTTAAGAAACATGTAATTACTATGGGTGTTGTTAATAAAGCCTTGCTATGATAATTTTGTCAGTGATTTATGTTAGCTCATTTTATATATATAATTGATTAGACACTCATCTGAATTCAATAAAGGTTATGTTTCTGATTTACTTGTTATCTATTTGATTGTGATCACATATAATTATTTGTAGTGATAACAAGTGTTGAGGATTTAAGTATTCCTCAAATTTAAGATTTGAGACTTTCAGATTTCTCAAATGTTTCAGATGAATTAGAATGGTATTGTGATACATGGAAGGGAGCATCTCAGTATAAATGGTGTGTAACCACCAAGATCCATTCAATTTGAAATTCAGTTAAGTTTTTTCTTGATGAGTTTGTTTTGATGAATATTGCGCAATTTAAGTTTTCATCAATTCATCAAGGATCACATGACCAAGTGGGAGAATGTTAGAATATCTATTTAATTATTAATATTCTAATATTGGTCATGTATTTGGGGTTATATGTTATTAATAGAGTTCATATAGTCCTAGGCATTTAATTGGTTTAATGATAGGCTGAACCTATGTTTAAGTCTGTCTAGGACTAAGGTTCCCCAACCCTCTCTTCTGCCTCTATATATACGCTTATTCCCTATGGAATAACAATACAATATTAGTGAGAGATCTCTACGTATCAAGAATCTCATAAGGAAAGAGGCCAGAGGGGATAAGGGATTTATTCCAGTTCATTCATCTATCATGGATCCAGGTATTCCTAAATCCCAGATCTATCAGTATATAATTATGTATAATTATATGATGCCGATCTTGGAATTTAATCTATCAATATAATCGTGATTAAATCTTGGAATTTAGATTTGATAAATTTAATTAATAATTAATAATATAAAAAATTTAGGAGCAATACCAATGTCAGCGCTTCCTAGCGGCAGTGGCGGAATCAGATACATGCACCAAGTTATGCCAGAGATGGGGTTGTTCTCGATTTGTCCGTTGTGTTGCCGGTTTGACTTAACGCTGCCACCACATGATTTTCCAAGCAACGGTGATAGGGAAATGACGTTCACGTCTATGCTGATGATGCAGACCTCGCCGGCCAATGGAGTGAAGGGGGAGATGTTTCTAACTTTCTATGATGAGTCAGGTTTGTAATCAGAGAGGCTGTAGAATATTTCGAATGGAAATTGAAATGGAGAAAGCGAGAGATGTTTCTGTGAGGGGGAGATGAAAGAATCGATTTGCTTGGGAAAGAGATGAGAAGCCATAACCTACCCTCCTCTTCATCAATTCATTCTCTCTGTGCGGAGGTGGGAGAGGGATGAGAGAAGTGAGGAGTTGTGTAGATCTGAGGAGGTCAATCGTACGGTGTAGGGAAATGTGTAGGGATTTCGTTGATATGTACGGTGTAGGAATTGTGTAGATCTGAGAATCGCACGGGTGTTATAAAAGTTGGGTGAGCGGGAACTTCATGTTTTGGAGTTGTAGTGCTATTAAGGAGAGGATTAAACCTTATACCTTTTTCATTCCAAATTTATTTGCAAAATAAACATTTTCTGGTCAATCAGGTTATAGTTTTTTTTTTGACAGAAAATCAAGGTTATAGTTAAATACTCCATATTGATTATTAATTCAATTTTTAATAACTAAAATTTACAT